CTTACCATCTCCCTCTTTCTATTTTGCCCTGCTGGTTCTATAAAAAGGATTTTCCAGTGTTTCCCATCCTGTTCCAGCATCTTTCTCTCACCATTTGACTTGCTGGAATTTTGTAGTTCCTTCTGTATGTCCCACATTAGTGGTTCTGTTATACAATTTAAGTCCTCCTATTACACACAGGCATTAGTTAATTAACATTTGTAGCTTATTAGCAGAGAAGCGGCTGGCCGAACGGTTAGAACACTGAGCTCTTATGCGGGAGACCCGGGTTCAAATCCTTAGTAATGAAGCAAAAATCAAATCTTCACCTGCACAGTCCATGGCGACAGTACTAGCATGCAGCCTAAATCCTCAAGCCCAACCCCCCCTCCCCCCCCCACACACACACACACACAAGTGGTCTAATAAAGGCAGTGATTGGCAGTTGGCTTATTAGCAACTGGTTTTCTCCAGCAGCAGTCTTAATCTGAGTTTACTGTTCTCAACTCTCCAAGGTGGTAAATTTCCTAGTGCCACACAAGCTCCTATTACTGTTTATATTTTTATTGCAACATTTCAATCTGTTCCCTCGTCTTAATCTACAGTGCTACCTGTGTATAATTTTCCTTACTGTTTAAGCATGAAAATATCCACAATAATCTAACTCAATTAGGTTTTCTTTACTGGCCAGATAATTGTGTTGAATTTTACACTTTTAAATGGAGGGGTGGCTCAGGTAAAATGTCCACCTTCAACCCAACACGAATTCTCTTGTCGATATTTGTATAAAATAGTAGCTCAAAGTGATTACACCTCTTCAACTTCATCTTAGGGGTGGACTCTATACCTAGTCTCAGATAAAAGACTATAAACAGGAGGTATTTCATGCACAATAGATTTTTCAACACTAAAAAAACTTAACTGATGTATATAACTAACAGCTGCTGTAGCAGAATTCCTCTAAATAAAAAAAAAGTACCCACAACAACATATTAAACTCTTCAACACTATGTCGATGTGCAAATGTATGTTTGCCAATGAATTTGCATATCCACATAGTGTTGAAGAGTTTCATACGTTGAATATGCTGTTGTGGGAATTTTTCAAATTCATGGGCAAACATAAATTTTTCTTGTAAATAAATTAAGGGCCGCCATAAAGCAAAATCTATCAGAGACCAACACAATTAAAAACACTTCATATCAGTCTGCAGACTCAATAACCTGTCACAGCATATACACAATTGTAATATCTACAGAAAACAACATAAATCAAACATAACCATAATATAAGCTATAAAGATCAAAGGTAAAACCAAATTAAAAACAAGTTCATTATATTACTACAAAAAAGTGAACTATGAAATAGAAAGAAAAGACATTGCACATAAAGATCCTGCCATTAATACTTGAGCTGGTTTCAACCAATGAAACAGTCAGCAGGTACTCTACAATGTAAATATAAAGCCAGGTTTTCATTTGCAGCATTCCCACTGGACAGTTATTTTCTAAAACAGCCATGTTTATCTCATTTACTGCAGCATTATAAACAATACACGGTGTAAAACTACTCATGAAAAACTGACAACAGTTTTGTTAACAGTTAGCAAGTTTGGCACAGTGTTGAGCGAGACGACTGAGAATGTTAACAATGTGATCTTAGAATGACAAAACCCACACTCATCCAATATTCAACCCTTAAAAGGGGCGGGGCCAGAATGTGGGGTCAGTAGCTTTTACCAAGCAGTCTGTTTCATATCTTTTTGGTTACACTTTTTAAATGCCCTTTAAAAATATACAATATGAAAATATTTTTTAAAGAAACCACATAGATATAAAAGAAAAAATCTGGCACTATCTAAACTAACATTTGATACATTAAAACATTTGTGCGCCTGCCAGTATTGCCAGGAAATGTTTAATTTTATATTTAAAGAAGTGATGAGAATTAAAAGCTCTTAGGACTGAAGTGTCACTATGCATTGTACTAAGTTATTTATTTGCATACAACAAACACTAATCTTCTGCTGTACCAGGAATTAGAATCTTGGTCAGCAAATTAGGCAATCTAACCACCTAATTACCTGCTGTTCTAAGTTTCCACAATGTAAGCAAACTCAGACAGAGAGGCAGATGAAAAAAAAAAAAAGAAAGAGAGAGAGAGAGAGAGAGACAGAGAGAGAGAGAGAGAGAGAGAGAGAGAGACAGAGACAGAGACCCATATTAAACATGCAAAAACATTAACATCCATTAAGAGTTAATATAGCATCACTCAAAAACAGCTGTCTGCAAAATAGCTTTACACTAATGAATACTTTATTGTCAATGTCTTGTCGGCTCTGTGGCTAAGTCGATGCGAACGCTTTGTAAACAGTCTAAACTATCCCATTATTTCATTTACTTGTGTGTATAAACTTCAGAGAAAAAAGCAAACAAGTACTGGTACATCTCGGCAGTAAAATCAGAGTCAATGTTCTTGCATGGCTAGTGAAATCATAGCTCAAAGCACAGATGCTAGTATCTTCTCAAGAGACAACAACAAAGAATGTATCAGCATATGCTGTGTGGAATACCCACCCAGGGATCTAAAACAACAATGGGTAAATGTTAAAACATGAAATAATTTACAAAGTGATCAAAAATCAAATTCACAGTAACTATTAACACAGCTCATCACATCACATGGCATAACAGTTCTCTGAAAAATAATGGACGCCCCTTTAGAGTTTCTTTTTAACTGAAAAAAAAAAAAAACATAGTTTTCATTACTTATAATTAAAAGTATATATATTTTTCTTGTAACTGGCATATTTTCTTAGACTGATGAATTGTTACAAAGTTGTTTAAACTTAGCCTTATTTTCCAACTACTACTCAACAAATTGCTAGTAATGTTTCTAAATAAGTAAACATAACAAGTATTAGAAAACAAGCTTTCAGAATCCAAAACAACAATTAATAATGTTCTCTTTCATATTTTTCTGTCCAACTCCCCCCTCCCAGCCCTTTTTGTTTCCTTGAAAATCAATAATGTCACACTTGAAAAGGACAAGCCAAAAGGGCATAGTGCATTATTAACAAGTTTTTCAGAAGAAAACAACTATGTCTTTTACAATTAATCATTTACAGCCCATAAAGTTATTAGCCATAAATAAAATATTCAATTAAGAAACCGTAAAGGGAAACTGAGAGCTGACATAAGATGCATTTGTGATGCATCACAATAACATTGCTATACAATCAAACAAGACACACAGAAAGGCTCAAAACAGGACAACAGTCTGTGTTAAAAGTTTGTCCATTACAGCGGAACCAAGGCAAATGTTATTTAAGTTGCAAGGTAAATGCAAGTTACGATGACTACATTTAACACTGATCAAAACTCACAATGACCTCAGCCATCAATGAAAAAGTGCTACCCAAAAAAACCAAAACAACACTTTTCAAAATGACCATAAAGTTTTACTCTCTCGCCCTTCCTCTGGATATTTACAATGAACACACAGGTAGAGAAGTGGACAACACACAAGCTCAACAGTGCAAAATGCATTTAAAAAAAAACTGCAAAGAGTGGCATGACAACATACATTCTTGATGATGGATAAGTTAATAAACTCATGTATCATTTTTAAAAGATAAGGGCTTGGTGTTTTTACAAGTGTATAGGAAAGATGGAACTCTATTTTCTATCGTTAGTAATAAAGCATTTACAAATTCAAATCATGGGACATTTCAAGCATTTAGGCCTTTTTAAAAAAAAAAAAAAAAAAACACTGTGATCACTTTTAGTTGAATTTTGCCTTATATTTTATGTTCAATAGCAGACTCACTTAAATAAAGTAGCTGACAAATGGTTTCAGGTATATGTACATTAATGTTATTTCTTAGGCAAGATTTAAAAAATAAAATTAAATGATGAACACAAAAACAAATTTAGCTCACTATGTTTAGCTGACTTCACTTTAACATCCAGAAAGTAAACGTAGTGAATGTTAGCAAAAAGAATGTATCAGATCAGTTTCATCAAGTTTAACATCAAGAATGTTACTGGGTATCAGATCAGTTTCATCAAAAGTTAACATCAAGAATGTTCAGGAGCTTCAAGTTCAGCTTCATAATGTTTAACATCAAGAATGTTAAGAGGGTCTCAGTTCAGCTTCATTGTGTTAAACATCGAGAATGTTAAAAGAGTATCATCCCCATGTGGGTTCCGGAGCCCTATTATAGGGAAAACAAGAATAGACCTACTGCCTACCCAAAAGCATGTCGTAAGAGTCGACTAATTGGGAGCTTTCTTTGAAGTCAGAGTGCATCTGCCTGAGGGGCAAGGAACCAGCAGTCTGCATACAGATGAGTCAGATCTGTAAAACAGATGCACACGCAACACTCAAGTTCTGGAACAGGACTGCCGTCCAGAAGTGGATGAACAACCAGAAATTTCCACCAGAGTTTACAGCTGGTGAAACGCAAAGAAGAAGAAGGAGAAAAGGGTATCAGTTCAGCTTCACCATGTTTAACATTGAGAATGTTAAGTGGGTATCAGTTCAACTTCATATTTAACATCAAGAGTGTTACAGGGCATCATGTCAGTTTCATCAAGTTTAACATCAAGAATGTTACAAGGCAGTTCAGTTCCATCATGTTTAACATTTAAGAATATATAGGGGCATCAGATCAGCTTCATCATGTTTAGGGGAAATCAGTTCAATTTAATCAAGTTTTAACTCTTTGAGTCCCAGGGGGTTTAGCATCAGAAGCCCAAGGGGTAGTCAAAAGAGATGAAAAATGGGCGCATTTTGCGTTTATTGGGCCTCTAAGTAGGAACCTATGGACGTATGAAGCGTTCCTTGGGACTCAAAGAGTTAACATCACAAATTTAAAGCCATCAAATCAGCCCCAGAAAAAGTTTAATATCAAGAATGTTACAGGATTCAGATGAGCTTCATTACATTCAACACTAAGATTATCACCACAAATGCCAAAGATATGACAAATCAAATCACATAAAAGGCAGTACACCCCTTTACAATCTGTCCAATTTGAACGAATCTTCAATAGCCGGGTCGGCCACTAAACTGGCATCAGTCAGCATCTGAATCTCTTCCAAGTCTAAAGGATCAAGCCCAGCTTTGAATGCTTCATCATTGGTCAGAAAATCTGCGTCAAAGCTGTCTGTTAAGCCTGTGATGGCATTTCCCAAATCTCTAGCAAAGTCAAGAGGCAGTCTGTACATGTCATCTGCACCTGTACATGAGACAGAAAAATGATCAGCTGAATATACGGATTGGAGGCAATTGGAAGGAGACAGCAAGCTGTGCACATGTGTGTGAGAGAGGTTGGGGGAGGGGGAGACAGCAGCAAGCTGTGCACATGTGTGTGAGAGAGGTTGGGGGGGGGGGTTTGAGGGACAGCAAGCTGTGCACATGTGTGTGAGAGAGGTTGGGGGGGGGGGGAGACAGCAAGCTGTGCACATGTGTGTGAGAGAGGTGGGGGGGGGGGGGGCAGCAAGCTGTGCACATGTGTCTGAGAGGTGGGGGGCAGCAAGCTGTGCACATGTGTGTGAGAGAGGTTGGGGGGGGGCCGCAAGCTGTGCACATGTGTGAGAGGTTGGGACAGCAAGCTGTGCCCATGTGTGTGAGAGAGGTTGGGGGGGGGGGACAGCAAGCTGTGCACATGTGTGTGAGAGAGGTTGGAGGGGGGGGGGGGGGGAGAAGACAGCAAGCTGTGCACATGTGTGTGAGAGAGGTTGGGGGGGGGGAGACAGCAAGCTGTGCACATGTGTGTGAGAGAGGTTGGGGGGGGGGGGGGCAGCAGCAAGCTGTGCACATGTGTGTGAGAGAGGTTGGGAAGGGGGGGGGCAGCAAGCTGTTCACATGTGTGTGAGAGAGGTTGTGGGGGGGGGGGGACAGAAAGCTGTGCACATGTGTGTAAGAGAGGTTGTGGGGGGGGGGGAGACAGCAAATTGTGCACATGTGTGTGAGAGAGGTTGGGAAGGGGGGGGGGGGACAGCAAGCTGTGCACATGTGTGTGAGAGAGGTTGGGGGGGGGCAGCAAGCTGTGCACATGTGTGTGAGAGAGGTTGGGGAGGGAGACAGCAAGCTGTGCACATGTGTGTGAGAGAGGTTGGGGGGGGAGAGACAGCAAACTGTGCACATGTGTGTGAGATGTGTGAGAGAGGTTGGGAAGGGGGGGGTGACAGCAAGCTGTGCACATGTGTGTGAGAGAGGTTGGGGGGGGGAGGACAGCAAACTGTGCACATGTGTGTGTGTGTGAGAGAGGTTTGGGAAGGGGGGGGGGGGTGACAGCAAGCTGTGCACATGTGTGTGAGAGAGGTTGGGGGGGGGGGGGAGACAGCAAGCTGTGCACATGTGTGTGAGAGAGGTTGGGAAGGAGGGGGGAGAGCAAGCTGTGCACATGTGTATGAGAGAGGTTGGGGGGGGGGGGGGACAGTAAGCTGTCCACATGTGTGCGAGAGAGGTTGGGGGGGGGGGGGGGGGGAGAGTGACAGCAAGCTGTGCACATGTGTGTGTGAGAGAGGGGGGGGGGGAGACAGCAAGCTGTGCACATGTGTGTGAGAGAGGTTGGGAAGGGGGAAAGCAAGCTGTGCACATGTGTATGAGAGAGGTGGAGGGGGGGGGGGGGGGTGGGGCAGTGCAAAGCTGTCCACATGTGTGTGAGAGTGCACGTTTGGGTTGGGGGGGGGGGGGCAGACAGAGAGTTTAGGACTCAGAAAAGTGCACAGCAATACGTACATGGGTGCCAATAAATAGAGGTCAAATTATTTTTAACAAACTATCCAGAATTACAATTAGTTGCCTTTTGCAACATGCTCGTTTGGTTAAAGAAAAAAAAAAGGTAGGGGGGGGGGGGGCAGTAGGCATATTCCTTCTTTTCTCCTCCCATAATAGGGCCCGGAATCCATAAAGGAAATGTCTCGCTTTTAATACAAAGAATAATATCTGCTCAAATCCACAATAGCTCAACAACCCAAAATGCAACAACCATTTTCCACCTGTCTGAAATAAAGAATAGTACTTGGTTGGAACGGTAAACAGTGTCTTTTAGAAATTCCAAACAAAAAATAAATAATTAGGAAAAAAAAAACAAGATGAATTCTTTTAAACTTGTTACCCTGGGTATGCTTTTAAAAAAAAAAAAACGGATTTTGATCCCACTGGAATTCCCCAAAAATTCCTTAAAACAAAACATATTTTGCAGAGGTCACTAATAAAAATTAGTGTAATGCATTTATCTACATTTTCTTTTTGAAATATATATAAATATATATAGGGAGTAACTGGGGGGAAAAACACACGCAAAGAGTGAGGCGTTAACTGAAAATGCTCCCTCGGGTCTTTAAAACATATGTATCGGTGACTCATACGATGACCCTGTGATCTCTATCATCGGGGAAATTAATTACATCAACTCGGCTTTTAAAAAGCCATCTGGTTAACAGAAAAACACTACTAAACGCTTCCTACATTTATTACTTAGTCGCTCCTCTTGTACACTGGGATGTAGATACTTGCTAGAGAGATTGCCAGACTTCTGTCAGCAGTTTTTCTTTCGGGCTTTGTTCCATTCCAATCCTCTGTTAGTCAAGGACTTTCAGATGTTGTCTTCCCAGTAGATCCTGGGTTGCCCTGGAGGTCTGGTTCCCTGGTTCTTGGCCTCCTATACCTCCTAGGGTGGTCGATTTTCTTCCATTCTGCATATGTGTTTAAACCACTGTAACTGTGACTGATCCACTCATTTGTAAGGCCTAGGTTTCAAGATCTTGATGTATTGTCTCATTGCAAACTTTGTCCCTTCTTGTCATTTGGACCACCTTTCTCAGATATCTTATTTCTGAGGTCTGAAGCTGGCTTCTGTAAACCGTTGTCAATGCCCAGGACTCACATCCGTAGGTCAGGACTGGCACATAGGTAGAGCGCTAAACAGCCATTTTTGTCTTGCAAATTTCTTTCGCTAAGAAACCCTCGGCTTATTGCCTGGAAAAGTCTCTCAGCAGCTGCTTTTCATGTAGCCAGCTCTGTCCTAATACCTCCATTTTGGTCTAATACAACTCCAAGGTATTTAAACTGGCTGACCTGCTTCAATGCATGTTGTCCCATCATGATCTGGTGTTTCTTCTCCTCTCTTGAGATCACCATGGTTTTAGTTTTGGTCATCCCTCTCTTCTCAAGCTCTTCCTTCCAGACAAGTAAGCTGGACTGAAGGTGATTTAGCTATCAGGGCCACGTCATCAGCAAATGCCAGCGTTGATATACAGTCTGGTCTCATCTTCCAGTAACCTACTGATTAATTCTTTGTCTTCTCCCTACAGATCTTGATGACACCATCCATCATAAAGATTAAGAGGTAAGGTGAGAGAATATCACTTTGTCTAACACCGCTAGTGATTTCAAATTCTTCTGACTTTTGGTCTGCTGTTCTAACATAATTTTAGCAGCTTTTGTAGAAACTCTGTTTTGCACTGATCAGGGGTGCTGGAATGTTTTTCCCTGCCAAGCAGTCCCAGAGCTTGCTCCAGGAAACCTTATCAAATGCCTTTTCTAGATTTAAAAAAAAAAAAAAAAAAATACCAGGCTCATCTTACTCTATATACAAGGGCTTTTTCACTCATCCCTTCAAATGCTATTTTTGGTAACTCAAGTCATATTCTGACCCACTAAACACTATGTGAGCGTGAACTCAGCCAATATGATTATTCAAGCATCGCATAAAAATGTCACCAAGAAAAGTCGGTTGAGTAACATTTACGAAGTACTGGACCTAACTGGAAGTGTTGGTTTAGCAGCTTCTTGGGCTGACAGGGTTTACCACTTAGGTACTGACCTGTGAGAATGATGTCCGGTATACTGCTGCTGGTTGGTGAGGACAGAGAATTATGCTGACTCATATGGTGGTTATTTGCTGATGACATGGTGGTCTGGCTGTTACAATGACCACTAGCCATCACATCAATAGGCCCCAAAAAGTGGGGCTGAAAGAAGTCATCAGAACTGGACATTGCCAAAAAGGCTGCCTGTTGTAAGACACACAAAATTAGATCTATAATTATAAAAATGTACAGATCAGACCAGTCTTTCCTATTTAGCAGTAGGTACAGAGAACAAATGCCCATATCATTCATTCTCTCTCTCATATCTCTTTCTCGTGCGCATACACACACCTCAGCAGCAGCATACTAAGAAAGATGGAGAAAGGCATGTTCTGTGCAGTGTGGCAAACGTCGTTTCAGATGTCCCTGATAGTTAGCATCCTTTGAATCTTTTTTTTCTAGGGTAGTTAGGTGTGTTGGGAAACAAACAGGCAGAAGGCTGGCTGCTGCTAGCTTGTGAACTGATGTATGACAAGCCAGATATGGTCACAGCTCTTTGGGAGCAAGTGAACAATGCAGAAACATAAACAGAGCATTGTTGTGTGGAGAACAAGGTGCCACATGGAGTAAAGAGGGGATCTGGCCAATACTCTACACCCTACAACCAATGACACTGGAACTCTTCAGTCGCCGCTGAAGACAAGGACAAAGCATTTATGGGAATTTCCAGACAGCTGTGATGTTGAGTCTCAACCGAGCTCACCATGGAATAACAATGCATAATACTTCTCCCCACAGTCCATGCTGTTGTGTGGCACTGGTCATCACATCCTGTCTTACCATAGCCAACACCTTATCTTCCTTCCTTAGTGCTCTTCAGTTGTAAACTCTGCTAGAAAGTTCTGGTGTCCGTCTGGACTTTGGTCTTATTCCAGAAATTGAGCTTTGTGGGAACTTCCAGATCAAGATTACCTCTATGAAGAAAGCTGGTTTCATGCCTATCAGACAGGTGCACTGTGACTCCAAAAGAAACAGCTGCCGTTTTACATGATGTTTTGGGTTGGTTGGAGATTGGTTGGGGTGGAGAGGAGGGGCTAGTAGAACTATTATTTCTCCTCCAAAATCAGGCTGTGGAACTCGCACATAATAAGTGGGGGGGGGGGGGGGGGAAATTAAGCCTCAACAACAGAAAGTAACAGTTGAGCAAATCACAAATTTTACCATGTTGAACTGTTCAAACTGATGCTGCAGTGTGCTAGTCTGTTGCTGCTGTTGGATATAGTAAGAATCACTAAATGCAGCGTCAGCCACTTGGTTGTTGGGCCCCACTCCTGGCGACTGGACAGGGCTATATGATGAAGTAGAATGTGGCGAGGTTGGTGACTGGCAGTTACAATCTGAGACACTGTTTCGATACTGGGTCATGGACACCTGGAAAGTCAAGAAGCAATTCAGATACATCTTCTTCATATGACATGATGTCTGTTTGTTTTGTTTGCAAGAACCAAGTGATGACTGTGAATCTGCAACAATGACCAGACTGCAAGAACAGGGGTTAAAAGGGGTGTGGCTAAACAAGAGCACTATGCAGGAAGCCAGAGAAGAATAAAAAACCAACCAGAACTGGTGCCGATACATGCTGCAGGATTTGCTAAAAAGGGGGATTCCAGCACTTATGGACCGGATGGTTAGATGTGTAATGACGATAATCTGTTAATTAAACAAACTTTAAAAAAAGTTGTTAATGTAATATTTTTGGTCTAGGCGTTTAAAATAACTAAGAGACAGAAGGGGTCAAAGAACCGGAGGAGGAATAGATTAACCCTTCTGCCCCATAAGTGCTGGAAAAAAAAATGGGTGAAGAATCTGGGAATTTTTTAAACAGTTTTTAAAAGGACATTATAAAGGTCGCTAATAAACTTTAAAAAATGTTTCATCATCTTTTTAATGTATTTTTTTAAATATATAAATATACAGAAAGGGGTAATCAATAGACACAAGCAGGGTGAAACATTAAATGGACTAAATTCCCCAGAGCTTACATAAACAATGTGTATCAGGGGACTCATGCAATGGCCCCCCCAAAAAATATTTACTGGGTGACTAATTTTGTGAGGCCTGTGTTAGATGGAGTTGTGTATGGTATTCAAGGTGAATTTTAAAGGGGAAACATCTGCCTTAATGCAGATTCAAACCCAAGACCTTGGGGCTGGCAGGTGGGCATCTAGCCACTATTTTACCATGGCTCTTTACATTTTAAGTGCAATGATGAAACTATATAGCCCTGCAAATATTAGTCTGAAATGGAAACGCCAAGAGATGTGTCCTTGGTAAACATGAGAAATGTATACAGCTGAACAATACCTGTTATACTGAAACACAAATAGCCGTCAAAACTTTGAAATGAGGTTCTAAATTCTTATTTTTAAAATCCAAATTTGATGGTGACAAGCAGGTCATGATCCGACAGAAACACACCAAAGTCAACTAAACGCTAAATTACTGTTTCTAGAATATCATATGCTCAATAACATATGTGCAGTTGCACGTAAAGTAATAATTCATTTTGACCAATTGCAAACAGGACTTTACATGTGTGTTTTAGGCATACTGTCAAGTAACAAACAGGAGGCCTGAAATGCACTCAGGTGAAAACCCTCACAATTACATGTAGGTTACATTGGAGTTTTTGCAAATGAAATAAGAGAACTATATTAAGACAAAGAGAAATTCACAGACCATAATGACAGAGAGAAATTAGTGTTTGTTTTACATTTTACATTATTTACTGTTTGTGAAAGTTAAGGGAAACCACCATATTAAAATCCCAATAAATGGGCATCAACAAAGTTAGATTTACTCTAAACAACCTGATAGGACAGGAAACACTACGCCTAATTTTATACTGCAAGCATTTTCTAGTAAGGAGTTTCATCATACAAGCACAGTTTCACAAAGAGGTTAAGGAACAACAACTTGTGTGACACTTAAAGCACAATCATTTCTACAGCGCTGACTTACTTGAGATTGAAGTTCACCACTGGCTGTGTTCTGCACCTGAGGCACCGGAGGTGACAATGGAGACTGCTCCTGTTTAATGTGCTGTTGTTGGTTGATGTGCTGTTGCTGGTTGATGAACTGTTGTTGTTGATTCATGTGCTGCTGGTTTGTTTGCTGTTGTTGGTTGATGTGTTGCTGGCTGAGGTGCTGTTGCTGGTTAATGAGCTGTTGTTGCTGATTCATGTGCTGCTGCTGGTTTGTTTGCTGTTGTTGGTTGATGTGCTGTTGTTGGCTCATGTGCTGTTGTTGGCTCATGTGCTGTTGCTGTTGGTTAATGTGCTGTTGTTGGCTATTGAGCTGTTGTTGCTGATTCATGTGCTGTTGCTGCTGGTTTGTTTGCTGTTGTTGGCTCATGTGCTGTTGCTGTTGGTTTGTTTGTTGTTGGTTAATGTGCTGTTGTTGGCTAATGTGCTGTTGTTGGATTCATGTGCTGTTGCTGCTGGTTTGTTTGCTGTTGGTTAATATGCTGTTGTTGGCTAAGCTGTTGCTGATCCATTTGCTGTTCTGGCTGGCTTGTTTGCTGTTGGTTGATGAGCTGTTGCTGCTGGTTTGTTTGCTGTTGGTTGATCTGCTGTTGTTGGTTGATGTGCTGTTGGATGGCATGCTGTTGTTGCATGATTTGCTGTTGACTGATGTCATGTTGTTGGCTGATGTGCTGTTGTTGGTTGACTTGCTGTTGTTGGTTAACCTGCTGTTGTTGGTTGACCTGCTGTTGTTGGTTGACCTGCTGTTGTTGGTTGACCTGCTGTTGTTGGTTGACCTGCTGTTGTTGGTTGACTTGCTGTTGTTGGTCAATGTGCTGTTGAATGGCATGCTGTTGTTGGTTGATGTGCTGTTGGATGGCATGCTGTTGTTGGCTGACATCTTGCTGGCTGATGTGCTGTTGTTGATTGATATCTTGTTGCTGCTGTTGGTTAATGTGCTGTTGTTGCTGATTCATGTGCTGTTGCTGTTGGTTCGTAAGCTGCTGCTGACTTGTAAGTTGCTGCATTTGTTGTGTGAAGGGTGCATTTTGCAGCTGGGGGAGACTGTACGTGAAATTACTGTGGGAAGTTGATGTCGTCGTAGGCGATGTGTGCTGATGAATATTTGATGCTGAGGTCTGTTCTGTGTTCTGATGATGGTGATCTGAATGGTGATGAGCTGTGAACAAGGGAGAGTCCGGAGTGGTATAGGGTTGGCTGGTAAGGGGATGAGTGGCCTGGTGCCTCATCCGTTGCTGTTCCACCTGCTGCTGTTGCTGCTGTAGTAAGCACATGTACTGCTGCTGCATGCAAGGGTCCATACCTGTGACTCCAGCCTAGAAAGCATACAAACAAACAAACTAACTAACACAAGCACAACAGTACCACCAGCACTGAACTCAGACAAGCAATGGCAACAGAAAAACTGTTTTTAAAGACAGTGTACATACTACATATGATAATGGCATGTCACAGCAGTAGGACGACAAGGCGTGTGTGCACCCACTATATAGTGCCATGGATCCTGATTAACTCTTTAACTGTGCAGTTGAAGCTAAAAGTAAGCAATATCTCATTCAATCAGAGCAGACCCTCCTGCCTTCATTGGGGGGGGGGGGGGGTAAATAAAAAGGTATACTGGTGATATGGATGTGGGCTCATGATTTAGAGTGACTCAATAGCTCATACAAAATTATACAGGGGAATTATGCTTGCAGCCCTTATTTTGATATATTTTAAAATAATCTCAAGATATTAAGCCACATCCAATTAAAAAATTATGTGCAAAAAAAAAAAAAAAACAGAAAAAGTATATTAATGTTTACTGAACTAATTAACATAATGAAGTTTCACTGTGCAGTTTAACTGTGTTGAAGAAACTCTTTGTGCAAAATGAGTATTTTTTCAAAAGTAAGCAATACTGAGATTTCTAGTTAACAATATTCAGAATTTAGAATAGCCCTTCATTAATGGAATGTAGTATTTATTCTAGTTTAATTTGGTTTTCTGTGCATGTGTTCCTTTGCATCTATTTATTATGATACTAGTGTTAAACTTTTTCCTATTCAGATTTTATATTGTTTGGGTTGTACATATCTTCTTGCCAGTTCTGTGTGTGTATTTACAGATTTTCACCAAGTGGTTCTGTGTGTGTACTTACAGATTTTCACCAAGTGATTTACGATAAAAGCAGTTTTTCAGTGACGCTAATTTCACAATAACCAAAGAGAATCAGGCTTCCAAATTTAAATGTAATTGGAAATTGCTTTGAGAAATGCACCTACTCCTCTCAGGTAGTCCTACCAACCAGCTATGTTATGCCTCATAGTAAAGAGTAAAAGCAAAAGGTTTTAGCTCCTGCCATTAGGCATACAGGGTATATGATAAGAGTCTGGAACATTCAAGCACTTGATCTGTGATGTGATCAGCCATCATCATCTATAGCAGATCTGTTGCTGGACAGCGCTCTCATTACCGTCTGTCTGACAGAAATTCAGTCACAATTCAGCCGGCTCTCCTGCCTCATGTCTTTTCACACCCAAGCAGCCACTTATCTCATATGCCTAACCTTGTCATGGTCGGCCCCCTGCTGATCTTTCCTGGCACCGTGCTTTCTGCTGTTATTTTGTCTAATCCTTCAAGGCGCTTGATATGGCCAAAATATTTCAGTTTCTCATACAAAATGCTGTTAACTAGCCAATCTTCCTTGATGTTCAGATCCTCTAAGATGCCATAGTTTCTTTTTTTCTTTGTCCACAGTATTCTGAGAATCTTTCTAGGGCATTTTAGCTCAAAAGCCCTGATGTTCCTTCTTAAGGTCAACGTTTTGCAGGTCATAATTATTTCTTAGAAAGCTTTTTTCTATCAATTTTAGACTGGATCGACCTGGGAGCCCTGATCAATGTTTTTATAAACCTACGCACTAGCATTATTAAAACATAATCTGCAGCAAGAACTAAAAACTCTCCTTTGCATGTTAAGCAAGGAAAGATTATATTTTTTTTTAAACCCACTATATGATAAACATGGTATGTATACACACATGCAAACAACTATGACAACACTAAACAAACATACAGCCTAGATAAGTGTTGCAGCTGTAGTGTTGTAAAAAAAAAAGAACTGTGGTATAAAATATAATTATCATCAAATTTGTCAGCTATTATTTTTGTTATATTTTTTTTTAAATACTTTGGATCTCTATACATATATACCATATACACACATTTAAATATAACATTTACTGGTATATAATGGTAAAAATTTATATTTCTCTTTCCCATTTATAGTTTGTGAAAAAAGGTTAGAAAAATTACTTCCCAAGTTCCTAGCAATTTAATAAGGCAAAACAGGCCAAACAGTAGTAGCAGGCAGCCAGTCGTGTACATTTTGTTTTGTCAAGAATGATGAAAAAATAAAGAATCTATTTGCTTGCCATCCACAAAAAGACATTGCAGATGATAAAGAAGATTAGGCATCAGTACCACAAGCCTCAAGAAAAAACTGTATAATTTTTATTTTTGGCTATATATATGTGCACAATTGAAATTTAACTTTCATAAAAATGAATATCCTAGTTTCTTTGTAATAAAAATAATAAAACTAAAAATGTTACCATTAAATGCCGGGGTGTGAACAGTAAGCTCTGAATATACTGGCACAATCAAATGAAGAAGCCAGTTCCCTAAGTCATTATCTTTACATCCGTGTCATTCCCCAGAGAAGTCAGAAAATTATCTGACATGTCATTTGACAAAACTGGGTTAACCCTAGAGCTGTAGTGGTCAGAGAAACATGTCTAATCACTATGGTGTTCCCCTGTTTTGGTTCTGCTGCTCCATGCGGTGGGGTAGATGCCTACTCCTTTACAATGTTGTAGATGGTGACCAATTAGGACTTGCTGAAATTGTATGTACGTATTGGGCCAAAAGGTGTAGATATTACAGACTAGCTGTAAACCACAACTTGCAAACTGCCTTTTTAAGAACAAATGAAGACTACTAGGGTTACTAAGACTATCCTCCATTGCTGTATGTACTGCTCAGAATGTTATTGCATTAGTTTCCCTACATCTGATCAGTCACTTCTGATGTTTCCCTGCACGGTTTTCAGGACCCAATTTTTCTGGTGTAAAGAACAGACACTGCCTAACAAGCATTTTCTTAAAGGTGTCTAACAAAGGTGTTTCCTTTGAAGTCAGACTGCATCTACCTGAGAAGTGAGGAACCAATAGTCTGCACACAAGCCAGATGTGTAAAATGGACATGCATGCAAAACCCAAGTTCTGAAAAAGTATCAAAGTCTACACGTGGACAAATACCCGGAAATACACGCTGGAGTTTACAGCTGGTGAACACTAAAAAAAGAAGATAACGGGGTTCTTCTTCTTTTCTCGGTGTTCACTCTTAAGAGGGTGGTTGGTACATTGTGTTGTGGTTCAGTTAGGCTGCGATAACTGCACCTTTCAGCTAAACACATCAGATTTCAGCAAAACCCTCATTGGCTGCCATTTACCACATGCTTGTTTGGTGGCAGCTGGCAACACCCCCCCCTACTCCCCCACCCCAAAAAAAAACAGGTCCTGGATCATATACAGGGATTTCAGCAAGTGGAAATGAATTATAATACAGGATAAAATAAGTTACAATTTAAAAAAAAAAATTGATAGAATGGGCTATGGTATTAGCCGGATGAGAGTTAAGGAGTTAAGAAAAGTCAATCATGTAAAGCAGCTGCTCAAATGGTAGCCCGCAAGCCTATATCTGACCTGCGAAGTTCACTCACCAGTTCCCTTCTCCATATGTGTCTTTATATGTTTTCATCTAGCTTTATTTCTACTGCCCTGTGGGTTCCACTGTAAAGGATTCTAGTTACATGGTAATGTAGAATTAACTAATATAAATAAATTAAATTACTACTTACTGGAGATGACGGCCCTCCTATCTGATTGAGAACCAAAGGACTGGGTATGCCGGAAGTTTGTCTCCGACGCTGGCCAGGGCTTTGAGGGCTTTGTTGGCCAAGTGGCATGTGGTGTGGACTAGTAGGACTTAGGCTAACTGGCGTGCCTGTGTTGACATTATTGTAAGGATCTTCTTGGTCAAGAGGAGTAGCCAGAGGAGAGGGAAACTGCAGCACAGAAAGGTCAGGTAACGATCCTGTGTTGTTAGAGTTTACAGACAATACTAGAGTTGGGGAATTGTTGCAGTCATGTTCTTGACTTGGATAAATGCTGAAATAAGCAAGAAGAATGTACATATTTTTTTGTTGTTGCTTTGTTTTTGTAAATAGAAAATTGTACAAAGGCAGATTTTACTTGGTCCATTTGAATGAGCAGAAACAGCAACCATCTTAATTTTTATTGTTCACTGTGTTAAAAATTCTTCTCAGACCCTGTTTTGCCTTTTTAAAGAAGCATTTGGTGCAAGCCTTAGTATATGCTAAACAGATGCTGTTATTAATGGTCTCAGATATTCCATCTATCCATTGCTTGCGTGGGTGACCTCTAATTCTTCTTCCTGTGTTTTCACCACCTGTGTTCACCCCAAATGAATGCTGTTCTAACCAACATATTGAAAGATGATCTATAAAATAAACACTAATGAAACAAAACTGCCAGGGAGTTCCAGAAAAGGTAGTTTTTAAGTGCTTACCAATTTAAAAACAGGTTATGAAGAAAGTATATTTATTACATTATTCATCATAATGGACGCAGAGGAAAAGATCAACTATTCTTTTTACCTTGCAGGAAAAGACAACCAGACACAGGTACAAGATAAAACATCAATATAACTTTAACCAGAATATATTAAAAGACATCAGGAGCCAATCTTATATCAATGAGATCTCAAAAAACTTTCTTCGAATGGACGAATGAAGGCAAAAATATTCTTTTGTTTTGCTATGTTGGACATATAGCAAAAATTAAGCTATAATTTTACCAATTCCACGGTAACATCCACTAGTATGTAATTACCTATCACACTGGCCAAGTGATATCTTAACAAGAGTATTTTAGGTTTAGATCTTCACACTAAACACTTACGTGTTAAAAAGTATTGGATAATGTAAGACAAACCAACATCTACAAAAGAATGCTAATGGAAGACTGGCAAGCAATATACAGCTATCATTTACTAAGGTCTGCTAACAGAAGACAGAAAGTACAGCCATCTGCTACAAAGGAATTCTAATAGTAGATGAACAATACAGCCCTCATTAGGCAGTACAGCTATAATTTACAAAAGAATGCTAATGGAAGATAGAGACAATACAACCATCATCTACAAATCTACAAAGGAATACTCATGGAAGAAAGAGACAATACAGCCATCATCTACAAGGGAATACTAATGGAAATTAAAAAAAAAAACAGCCACCATCTATAAAAGAATGCTAATGGAAGATAGATACAATACAGCCATCATCTACAAAACAATGCTTATGAAAGATAGAGACAATACAGCCATCATGTACAAAAGAATGCTAATGGAAGATAGAGACAATACAGCCATCATCTACAAAAGAATGCTAATGGAAGATAGAGACAATACAGCCATCATCTACAAAAGAATGCTAATGGAAGATAGAGACAATACAGCCATCATCTACAAAAGAATGCTAATGGAAGACTGGCAAGCAATATACAGCTATCACTTACTAAGGTCTGCTAACAGAAGACAGAAAATACAGCCATCTGCTACAAAAGAATTTTAATAGAAGATGATACACGCAAAAATCAGGTCCAGGTAAAAGCCAAAAGTCCAAGCGGACAATTAACCAGGACCTTCCGCCAGAATCCACAGCCGGTGAACGAAGAAGAAGAAGAAGAACAATACAGCCCTCATTAGGCAGTGCAGCTATAATTTACAAAAGAATGCTAATGGAAGATAGAGACAATACAACCATCACCTACAAAGGAATATTTATGGAAGATAGAGACAATACAGCCATCATCTACAAAGGAATGCTAATGGAAGATAGAGACAATACAGCCATCATCTACAAAGGAATGCTAATGGAAGATAGTGACAATGCAGCCATCATCTACAAAGGAATGCTAATGGAAGATAGTGACAATACAGCCATCATGTACAAAAAAATGTAATGGGAGAGACAATACAGCCACAATCTACAAAAGAATGCTAATGGAAGAGACAATACAGCCATCATCTACAAAAGAATGCTAATGAGAGAGACAATACAGCCATCATCTACAAAAGAAACTAATGGAAGGTAAACAATACAACCATCCTCTACAAAAGAATACTAATGGAAGGTAGACAGACAATACAACCACAATCAACAAAAGAATGCTAATGGAAGATGGAGACAATACAGTCATCTTCTACAGTACAAAGGAAATGCTGACAGAAGTTATGCATCACACCCACTATCTACAAAAAAGAGTGTGAACGAAAGACAAGACAACAGAACACTACAACAGGCAACACAAATCATCTACAAAGGAATGCTAACATTATGTTTAGCTTCCACAATGGTCATTAAATCAGTAAGCACGTACGCTATAGTCTCAGCTTAATTACCATGTGCTCTTCAAATACAATATTGATCTTCTTTCAAAAATGTCAGAATATTCTACCTGCTTACAGCATGCAGGATGTCTGAAAACCTTAAATGTACAAACATCCTACAATAGTTTCTATCAGCTGTGTTCACACAGACAGCCACTCAGGAGGAAATGATCACTTTTTTTTTGACAGCGCATGCTACTAGCATTCAACTGTCTATGTTATTACTGTTACTGGCATTTTACTTGTGTGGCAGTGTTATTATGTCTGTCTAAACTATTGGCATTTTCCTTGTGCCTACTATTACTGGTTTGACTCTGTAATATCAACTGCTACAGAAAGCCACGCTAAAAAAAAAAAAAAAGACCAACGGGAAGACCATACAAAATATGGAATAATGGCGTCAAGAAGAGCCTTAAAGAAATTAAGATCAACTTATACACCTCAGAAATAGAAAACTAGAGGTGTGCCCCCCCCTCCCCCCATCCCAAGAGACCAAAAGGAAGACTACACAATATAAACAAAATATGGAACAATGGCATAAAGAAGAGCCTTAAAGAAATTAAGATCAACTTATACACCTCAGAAATAGAAAAAAACTAGAGGTGTCCCCCCCCCCCCCCCCCCCCCCCCCCCCCCCCCCCCCCCCCCCCCCTCAAGAGACCAAAAGGAAGACTACACAATATAAGCAAAATATGGAACAATGGCGTCAAGAAGAGCCTTAAAGAAATTAAGATCAACTTATACACCTCAGAAACAGAACAATAAAGATCAGCTAATACACACATCAGAAATAGAACACAGAAGATCCATACCCATTTAATGTAATGGACTTACTGTGTATAATATGGACATTTAATTTATGTATGTTGTGGCTACTTCATCTAGGTATGTCGTGGCTACTTCACCAGTGTTGTATGTCGTGGCTACTTTATCTGTGTATGTTCTGTATACCTCTTGTGTTATTTGTAGCTACTTCACCTGTGTGTTATGGCTACTTCACCTGTGTGTTATGGCTACTTCACCTAGTGTTACTGTTATGGCTACTTCATGTGTACATTGTGGCTACATCATCTGTGTATGTTGTGGCTTCATCTGTGTATGTTATGGCTACATCAAATGTGTATGTTGCGGCCACTTCATCTGTGCATGTTGAGGCTACTTCATCTGTGTGTGTTGCGGCTACTTCATCTGTGTATGTTGTGGCTACTTCATCTGTGTATGTTGCGGCTACTTCATCTTGTTTGCCGTGGCTACTTCATCTGTGTAATGTTGTGCTTACTTAATCTGTGAAGTTGTTAATGAAGAAACCACAGTGTAGTGTAACACATGCTGAACAGAACAAACTTACTTAATGTTCGGAACTTCACACGACTTTGGTCGAGATGGACTAACTTTTTTAGAATCCCAGTAGTTCATCTGTAGGTTGTCGCCAGCATTATCACCAACCAGTTCAACCACTGCTGACCCAAAAAAAAAAAAAAAAAAATTGTAACAACACTTTTGTTTGTTCTCCTCTCAATATTTATGTTGATCAATTCTGAGCAGATTATAGTCACACCCACACAAAAATAATGAATGTTTTTAGCAGCTTGCAAACACTTATTCTCTGATCATAATTTAAAATTCTTGAAGCTACACAAATATGTAAAATTTATAATTATTCAAAGTCATTTATCAATTATCCTTATTCAAAAGCAAGATCTAAAACAGTCTGTTTACTAACTGGTGACACCAATAATGACTTTTTTCTACAAATGAAGATTCTTTTTCCCTGTTTTCCAGCCTTGGTTAACAAATGTGGATTCAGCTAATGAATGTTCTAGTGAATGCATGTACTAACATAATGCAGCTGCATTTAGAGGTAAATTAAGAAGATGTAGACAATTGAGTTAACGAACATACAAAAGATCTCACAACAGAAAACCTTGAAGAGTTAAGGGGGGGAAAAAAATTGATCAAGAACATGCTAAGGGAGGAAAAGGGCTCTCATCAGAGAATCAGGAGGGCCAAAACAAAAAGGGAAGAATGCCAACAAGTAACACTAAGAAATGCTGCACTGCTGAGAGCAGTTGTAGTCTTTCGTTACAATGCCATATCCCAAAAGATGAAACTTAACAAACTTTGTGACTTGGGGGAGCTACATTCTGAGTCATAATAAAAATATTCAGGGAAGGGGGGAAAAGATAAATTCAATCAGCTGCTCCAACCAAGAGACAGAAGCCAGATACTGAAGAAGAGGAGACTTGTGTTGAAAAAACTCTGCAAATTCGAAAGAATAGTAAAATCATGTGCATGGTGTAAAATGGAAAGATTATTAGTTTTCCATTCTACTTTCCATTCCCCTACATCCAACGGGCATCTGTTTATCTCAGTCTTTCATTAGTTGTTTTCCCTTTACAGCCTGCTTGTTACTATTTTATAAAACTTATCTTTAAACTGTGGGCAGCATCCAGAACAAACAGAACGATTTTCTGTAGAAACCTATAGAAAAATTAGGTTTTGGCTAATGAAGACTTCAGCTAACGAATGTGATTATGGAACAAATTATCTTCGTTAGCAGAAATATCACTGTACAAACATAATCTTTCTCTGTGTAATCAAACTAAAAGCCTTAATATATTCCAGTTACCTTTTGCCCAAAACTTACTCTGTCGATGTGAAGGTGGAGTCATGGGTTGCTGTGCGTAATTGTCACTGGCATTTCCCATTGCATTCATGTGCAGGGATGGATCAGAGTGTACCCTGTTGAAATTTATTTAAGAAAAAAAAAAATAATTCACGATTAATTTCACATTATTAATATACCCGTACTGGATCAAAGTTCAGTTGTCACAATAAATGTTGTCTCCCAGTCTGCAACTGCCTCCTATAGCACTAACCTTTGACACACAGGGACAGGAGAAAAAGAATTGGAACCTAAATAAGATAGTCAGTTTAACGTGGAGAAAGTTTGGAATTTTTGTTTATCATGAAACTGACAATCGACAATCACCAGAATGTTCTAAATGTCTCATGAAGCTCACAATAGATAGAATGGCTAGCATTCTTGCCTTTCAGCCAGTGATTTTGTGTACGAGTCCCTTCTGAAGTAAGGAATGTTTATTTCCACTGCAGTTTACAGCTGGTAAAGGTGAAGAAGATCTACCTGGACTCCACTTAAAACTGATATCAAAAATTTCCCACTGGCAGGATGCCGAACACATTAACTACAGTGTTATAACTGACATAAAACAGGGTTGGAGCCATACACTCAATGCGCCCCATAGCACCACAAGGGGTCCTTTACTTATTGGTACTTTGGCCACTACCTCTCGTTTCAAAAGGCATTTCTTTTTGAATATGTGTCTCTTAGCCTTTCACTGTGCCCACTAAGTGTAAGGCAGCAGGCTTGTTGATCTGTTTCCTGTGTTTCCTGTCCATCGACCTGTCCTACTTAGGAGATCCCGTGGGTAGAGAGGCTACTGTTAGCAGAGCTAAGAGAGCACTGGGAAACACAAAGTTGATAGCTAAAACAGAAAAGGGAAAAGGGGGGGGGGGGGTCCTTCTTCTGCATTAGCCCTTGAAAGGGCGGCTGGGATGCTGTGCTTTGGGTTAAAGCCAGGCTGTGTTATCTACACCTTTTGGCCAAACAATACCTCATTAAAGCAAATCCCTAATTAGTTGCCTTTTATGCCACGCTCGTTAATGGTGCTTTGCTAGAAACACTTTAAAGATCATCACGTTTAACCAGCATCCCCGAAAGTAAAGCTTTAGGTTATAACTGTGACCAGATTGTGTGTGCCATATAAAATTGCTTAGCACTGCATGCCACCAAGAGCCCTGAAAAGGACTCCTGCAGTGTTGATGCGATCAAAGGAGACAGACACAAATACTGTCCTGACTGTCCAAAGTCGTCTACTGGCAAGTCAATGGACGACCCAGTCGCCAATATGCTTGTTAATGAGCAGTAGGTGCATTCGTTACTTCCCCAACATCGGGGCCCCTGGAATTTACATGGGAAAAATAGGGGTTCAAAGAATATCTTCAGTACAGACGAGGTTATAACTTAAGATAGAATTAAAACCATTTAACCACAAGAATGAAAACAAAATGGCCAACTTTACAACAAAAATGCATATTATATTATACCCCAATCAAGCATGCCATTTAAGCGATATCAACAAATGGTCATCAAACACATAATACATATAAAAAGATTTTTAAAACAAAAAGCATATTTTGGTTAAAGCTCTCAAAGGCTTTATAAAAATGTACATATAATTGTTTTTTTTTTTTCAAGTTAAATCATTCTTTAACTCTTTGAGTCCCAGGGGGTTTAGCATCACAGGCCCAAGGGGTAGTAAAAAGATATTAAATTCGACACATCATGCGTTCATTGGGCTTCTAGGTAAGACCCTATGAACATATGATGCGTTCCCTGGGACTCAAAGAGTTAATCCACCAGGATACATGAATATTAATTTTTTAATCTTAGTGATTCTGATAATGTGCTTGTATCCTTAATTACTAACATTATTATTATTATTAATATTAAAGTCAAGTGAATGACCCTTTTCATGACAGTGATGCATCGAGGATATGATTTTTATAGACCAATCACAACTTGATGGGTAATGTCGTCACCATCATGCCAGCCGCCTTTACTTCCCATGGCGTCATCTGGTAATCATTTTAGGCAGCCAAGGTCAGATCTAAAGAAACAAAAAATTCTGCCCCGATGGGGACAGGCAAGCTAATTACTTACATCTTAGAACCCTTTTCCACACCTTCAGGTGTATTGGGTATATAGGGCTAGACCTATATTTTATAGGCCAATCGGCACTTAGTGGGTAATGTGGTCAAACATTACGCCGACTGCCTACACTTTCCAGGACTTTACCCGGTACCCAATAAAAGCTTCGTTAACCTGGCCATAAGGCCGTGTTTGAAGAAACAAAACCAAAAAAGTTTGGCTCCGACAGCGCCTGAACCCACAACCTTCAGATCTGCAAGCAAGCGTCTAACCGCTATTCTATAGCAGCCCCCTACTACTAAGCTGAAAAGCACTTTCCCTGAAAGTCATGAAGAGAATACACACCAGGTCTGACCTGCTGCCTGGAAGCCACACTTGGAATGTGAATGAATAAATCAAGAGCAGCCTGACGCAACCATAAACCTGGTTTCTAAGAAGAATGACATGAATTTTTAAGGAGAGTCAGAATAACAATAACTTCCTAGACAAGGCTAATGATGCAGAACGCTACACACAACTACAAGAAACAGACACACAGAATGAATGGCAGATGACATGGAGGCAAAAACTGTGTTAAAAAAGGGGAGCTGAATGTTGAATGGCTGTACGCCGTGAGGCAGACCAAGGAGACTGTGGAGAGATAATACACAGGGAGACATACAAACACACAGTCATCAACTGGAAAGAGGGCTAATCCTACAGATGAATAGAGGTGGGTGACATCTGCAACAATGATCCTCAAAGGCTCAGAATGCTGAAGAAGGTAGGGGAAAAAAATGAGAAAGAAGACAAGAGATGCCAGAGAAGATCAGTGCTAAATGACTTCAGAGGCAGACTTAAGATTATGCTGAATCTGAAGGCGGTGGAATATCAACAGAGCAGATGCAGAACACACACACAAAAAACTAAGATTTGCTGAGTAATTGAGCATATAGGCCATCTAGAACAATGCAGATGCATGATCATAAGTAAAGTAAAGTTCCCTTTTCACGCCTTTCGGCGCATCGGGCATATGGGCAGAGCGTCCCATATTTTTACAGACCATCAGCACTCTGTGGGTAATGTGGTCAGCATTACGCCGGCTGTCTTTACTTTCCCAGGACAGCCCATCCTGGTACCCATTTTAGGCTGGGTCGACCTGCGACGTCCCATACCACGATAAACATCCGCGCAGCCTGCAGTGGGTTTCGATCGCGGTATGCTGGCTTACGAGTCGGACTCGCAACGCCTTAGCCACGGACGCCGCTATGCATGATCATGCCCCCCCCCCCAAATACTTTATTTATCCATGCACCTTCAGAATTAACCAACACTGAAGATGTTACATGTTAACCATGGGTGTTTATTGTCACTGTATCTATTTTATTATCCTTTATTATCAGGATATCTATATTATTTTCCTCAAAAGTGTTATGCTTCACTGTGCTCTTCCATCAGACCACAACGTGCTAGATAGTGCTACACCGGCCATGCATAACAAGAAAACAATCTCAAACAGGTGTGAACATCTGAACAGATTCCATAATTTGCCAGACGGATTTCTGTGTTGACTTTCAGAAGTGATTTTTACAAACACCTAGTCCATGCAGTGGTCAAAAATTCGCATGTGTGCTACAATTAATTGTTCAAAGATAAATCCATATAATAATCCACAGGGTTGAACAGGACATACCCTTTTTGTTGAACATCAATATTTTAAGATCGCACAGTAGTTTAAACACATCTGCAAATTTACAGAACTGCTGGCCACATATTGACAGTTAAATAGGCAAACTGGGAATTGTGGTAGTGCAGTGTCCTGCAGCCTGTGGTTATAGGTTCAAATCCCCAATGACAGATTTTGTAAACTAGTTGGGTTCCAGGCTGATTTAGTATAAAATGTGTATCACTGTTCTGGTTAAGTGAGACTTGGAGAAAACTGCGAGGGTTTGAGCAAATGTGAACCGCTGTCTTCATGCCTCACATGAATGGACTCAAGGGGAGGTGGTGAACATGTGGGTTGAACATTAAAACTAGTATTCAAATCAGAAAGGCAGTCCACCATCGAGATATCAGGAGTGTGCCAGGAGGCAGCAGACATAGGTCTGGAGTTCTTCACAAATGTTTCTGTGCATCTGCCTGTAATCCTCAGAGACAAGGTCTCTAGATAGAAGACTGTCCAAAGGCGGTCACTGATCCATCACGGAAAGTGCACCTGCATGGTCTGGCAAAGTGTATTACTAGTAGCCACCTAGGTTGTTGCGTATCCTCTAGAGGACGTTGCAGAACCAACCCTAACAGCCCCTGGCTGTTGTGTGGTTTCTCTAGGCAAATTTACGTCCAGTAGTTTGCCATTGCTTTCTGGACGGTCGGCTTTCTTGATACCAGTGTCGAAACCGACGCAAGGCGCATTGCCCGCAGCTGGGATCGAACCTGGCATCCCGGCATTAAGAAGCGAAGTGTTCGCATCGACTTAGCCACAGAGCCGACAGCCACCTAGGGCACCAGTGTAAAGTAACACTGTACGAGTCTTGCAGTGTTATGTGGGTCAACATGGAAGACAAGCGGTTGAGAGGAACAGTTTCAAGTCCACTGACTTTTGTATTTTTACCATGTGACGAAATACATTGTAGATGGTGAGCCTACATTCAGTGTCATTTGTTTATGACAGCCTTGTAACTATATGTTGTGAGGAGTGACGAGAGGCAAACCCACTAGCAACAGCACCTCTGGTATTTGTGTGTGAAGCACGAATATCCCTTAGACTACTTGGTTAGTGAGACGTTCACCAGCAGATCAGAGGGTTGCAGGTTTAGGTCTTGACAGAGCCAGACCTTTTTCAAAAATGACCTTTGCTCCCAGGCTGACCAAACCTTAAATGGGTACCAGATAATGTCCTGGGAAGTAAAGGTGACTGGCCTAATACTGACCACATCACCCACCCAAAAAATGTTGACTGGTCTATAAAAATACTTGTTAAGCCCTATATGCCACTAGTGTGAAAAGTGTCCTCTACTAACTTACTAGTAACCAATATACACCTAGAGATGTAGCCAGTATTCTGCTAGATGTAGCCAGTATTCTGCTAGATGTAGCCAGTATTCTGCTAGATGTAGCCAGTATTCTGCTAGATGTAGCCAGTATTCTGCTAGATGTAGCCAGTATTCTGCTAGATGTAGCAGTATTCTGCAAGCTCCAAGCAATTCCTTATTTATTCAATCACTGTCAGTAACTTTATATATTACATACATCTCAGAGCATTGTATTAACTGTACCATAATTCTTCCCATTAAAAATATAAATCAGCTATGGTCATCACCGCCTACCTTCCTCTGGTACTCCATGTGCAGGGACAGAAATTGGCTTTGGTTTGCCAAAAGCAATCCCATTTATTATTCCCTACCCTGCTTTATTCTCAGGTTGACCCAGCCTTGGGTGGGTACTGGGTGCAGTCCCGGGAAGAAAAAGCGGCTAGTGTGGTGCTGACCACATTACCCATCTTGTGCCGATAGGTCTATAAAAAAACTTTATAATGTTTACCCTGCTTTATATGCTCAGCAGTTACTTGTTCTGCTATCAGCTCTGCTTCAATCAATCATGGTACTATAAAAGGTAATCAACCTCAACACGGTGAATGGGGAGGCAATGTTAGATGTGTATTCTAGGTGACAAACCAGTGTTCTAGTTCTTGAACCAGATACGGCCAATCAGATGCCTATTCTATACCTAAAAATCTAGATTACTCCTTTATATATAATGTGTAAACCATGCAGGTCATAGTCATAAATGCTCTAATAATGTCACACAAAAACAAACATGAGAATGAGCGTGCCAGCGGATAAATAAAATATAAATATATCTATTATATACTAGATTACTAGCAACACTTTAGCAATGCGTGACTGAAGCAGCAAGTGATATACAGCAAACATGAGTCAACCTTAATATGTGAAAACTTGCAGTACCAACACAAATATAATATTCAAACAGTTTATTCATTCTGGCTTCATATGTTTGTCACCAACATCTAGAATATTCAAGGAGATGCCAAACTGAAAGCTGGGGATGGTGAGCAATCCAAGGCCAGCTAGAAAAAGAACAAGGAACACTCACCGAGACAATGATAAGCCATTAAACAGATAGCGGTGCATCTTGGGTAGCCCACAACTGGCAAATGGAAAATCAAAATTGCAAACTAAACAGAAAAAGAAAGGAATGAAACTAAAAGATAGTAATTAGTATGTGTGTGTGTTTTTTATTTCAGAGTATAAAATATGCAAAACTAAAATTATGGGTGCTATAACAAAACAATGTAAACAGACATTAATTTACGATAATGGCTTTAAAAAAAATAATAATAATAAAAATAAACGGGTGAGTGTTTAGATGATGCAAACAGAAATGAGAAAAGAGCTGTTTCAATATCAGATGATAAATCCAACTGCAGTTGCTTTTCACATTCTCATTAATGGGGGGGGGGGGGGGGGTTGATTTTAGCTTTATAAGGAAACAATTAAACATAGAATGGGTGTTCTTGCCACACATCCTTTAACAGCAAACAAATAAAGGTAAAACATCAATCTAGCTTTATCTAAATATAAAAGCGCTAACAAGTAATAAACTACCCAAACACACACAAAAAAGTGATAACAAATTAGAACACTAAAAAATAAACAACAGTTAATGTTTTCTTATCAATAACAAGTATGCAATTGGCATTATTTTTGTTCCAATAACAGCTTTTCACTAATAATTATAATGTTGCGTTAATTTTTAATATTAAATACATATCCTCCATTTTCCATTATCGCATCAAAACCATATTTAGGATGTACAGGTACTTGAATTAGTTACTAAACTTGTCTAGGCATCAAAACTAATTTGGATGTCGTCAAAGAGCCTATACCTAAATTATTACTAAACTTACTAACTTCACTGTCCTCTGATTGCCTATGTATCTTCAGTGTCCTCTGATTGTCAATGTATCTTTACTGTCCTTTGATTGCATATGTATCTTCAGTGTCCTCTGATTGTCAATGTATCTTTACTGTCTTTTGATTGCCTATGTATCTTCAGTGTCCTCTGATTGCCCATGTATCTTTACTGTCCTCTGATTGCCCATGTATCTTTATGTCCTCTGATTGCCCATGTATCTTTACTGTCCTCTGATTGCGCATGTATCTTCAGTGTCCTCTGATTGCCTATGTATCTTCAGTGTCCTCTGATTGCCTATGTATCTTCAGTGTCCTCTGACTGCCTATGTATCTTCAGTGTCCTCTGATTGCCTATGTATCTTTAGTGTCCTCTGATTGTCCATGTATCTTCAGTGTCCTCTGATTGCCCATGTAACTTTACTGTCCTCTGATTGCCCATGTAACTTTACTGTCCTCTGATTGCCCATGTAACTTTACTGTCCTCTGATTGCCCATGTATCTTTACTGTCCTCTGATTGCCCATGTAACTTTACTGTCCTCTGATTGCCCATGTAACTTTACTGTCCTCTGATTGCCCATGTAACTTTACTGTCCTCTGATTGCTCATGTATCTTTACTGTCCTCTGATTGCCCATGTATCTTTACTGTCCTCTGATTGCCCATGTATCTTCAGTGTCCTCTGATTGCCCATGTATCTTCAGTGTCCTCTGATTGCCCATGTATCTTCAGTGTCCTCTGATTGCCCATGTATCTTCAGTGTCCTCTGATTGCCTATGTATCTTCAGTGTCCTCTGATTGCACATGTATCTTCACTGTCCTCTGATTGCCCATGTATCTTCACTGTCCTCTGATTGCCCATGTATCTTTACTGTCCTCTGATTTTACACGTTATCTTCACTGTCCTCTGATTTTACAGGTTATCTTCACTGTCCTCTGATTTTAAACATTATCTTCACTGTCATCTGATTTTACACGTTATCTTCACTGTCCTCTGATTCCACAGGTCATCTTCACTGTCCTCTGATTTTACACGTTATCTTCACTGTCCTCTGATTTTACACGTTATCTTCACTGTCCTCTGATTTTACACGTTATCTTCACTGTCCTCTGATTTCACATGCTATCTTCACTGTCCTCTGATTTCACAAGTATCATCACTGTCCTCTGATTTTACACGTATCTTTACTGTCCTCTGATTTCACACGTATCTTCACTGTCCTCTGATTGCACAAGTATCTTCACTGTCCTCTGATTGCCCAAGTTATCTTCACTGTCCTCTGATTGCACACGTATCTTCACTGTCCTCTGATTTCACATGTTATCTTCACTGTCCTCTGATTCCACAGGTCATCTTCACTGTCCTCTGATTTTACACGTTATCTTCACTGTCCTCTGATTTTACACGTTATCTTCACTGTCCTCTGATTTTACACGTTATCTTCACTGTCCATTGATTTCACATGCTATCTTCACTGTCCTCTGATTTCACAAGTATCATCACTGTCCTCTGATTTTACACATATCTTTACTGTCTTCTGATTGCCTATGTATCTTCACTGTCCTCTGATTGCCCATGTATCTTCACTGTCCTCTGATTGCCCACGTATCTTCACTGTCCTCTGATTACATATGCACCTTTATTGTCCCATGACTGCAAATGTCTCTTCACTATCTCATGACTGCATATCTATCTTCACTGTCCTGTGACCGCACATGTATCTTCAATTTTATATTGGTTATGTATTATCTGTCTGCATCTGTGGCTTAGGCGTTACGAGTGCACTTCGCAATGCCGTGGTACTGGGTGCGGTCCGAGCTGCAGACAAATTGTCTTGCGTTGGTTTTTGACAGTGGTACTAAAAGCTGACAGTTTAGTAACAGTGGCAAACTAGTGAACATAAAAATTTGCCTAGAAAAACCACAACAGCCAAAATATGCTAGGGATACTTCTGCAACGTCCTGTAAAGGATACCCAATTAACTTTCTTCCTCCAACAGCTAATGAAAATTAATCTTGTATCTATCTATAAGAACCAGTCTTCAGGCTCCCGCCTCTTTCAAAACCTCTTGGTTGCTCTTTTTGGCTGTCCAAGGTATTCTAAGCATTCTTCTGTAAAACCACATCTCTGAGGCCTCTAGAAATTGTTTGGCCTGCCTACTGATTGTCCAGGATTCAAAGCCATATGTTAAAACTGGATGCATGTAGAAAGCAAGAATAACCAGTCAATATATATGAATTTATTGCCATTCAATGAAATGTATTATCTGCACTTTCCTCTGGTCCTGTCCTTCCCTCTACCACAACTTTCTAATCATAAATTCTAATAATTTCACTTCTGTATATGACACCATAAAAAAATGTTTTGAAAAATCACTGGTTTAGCTTAAACACATGCATATATAAAATTGCAGTAAACATAATGTCACTGTGTTGACAATGATAAAATGTCAGCAACATTAGGTAATACTGTAAAGACCACAGGAGACTCAGGCTTGAGTTAGAAGTAGAACGGAGCACTCATGGGTTACCACCCTTATGCCATGATGTTGATCCGTTGTATAAACCAAACCAAACCAATTCAATATGTCTTTGCTGACATATGATGGTTTACGTCTGGGTTAATTAGGAACAGACAGAAATGACAGATGGAATTTTACAGGGTCAGTAATTAGTACAGCCATATAAAATGCTGAATACTAAAATAATCTTTTATATGTAAGAAATATTGTTAAACATTTTATTCACACTGGCCTCCTTTACTTCCTACACCATTTCCTAGTACTCATATTAGGTTGGGTCAACCTGGCAGCTAAGTTCAATTACTTAAAAAAATAATGCTTCAATGCAGATTTGAACCGTGGACCTTCAGGCTGTCGAGCAAGTGTCTAGCCACTGCATTATTAATCCTCAACTGCTTCTTATCAAGTATGTTTAATAACTCCTTTTTATCAAGTGTGTTTAATAACTCCTTCTTATCAAGTGTGTTTAATAACTCCTCCTAATCAAGTGTTTCAATAACTCCTTCTTATCAAGTTTGTTTGATACCTCCTTCTTATCAAGTGTGACAATAACTCCTTCTTATCAAGTTTGATAACTCTTTCTTATCAAGTGTGTTTAATAACTCTTTCTTATCAAGTGTGTTTAATAACTCCTTCTTATCAAATGTGTTAAATAACTCCTTATCAAGTATATTTAATAACTCCTTCTTATCAAGTGTGCTTAATAACTCCTTCTTATCAAGTATGTCAATAACTCCTTCTTATTGTGTGTTTAATAACTCCTTATCAAGTGTGTTTAATAACTCCTTCTTATCAAGTGTGTTTAATAACTCCTTATCAAGTGTGTTTAATAACTCCTTCTTATCAAGTGTGTTTAATAACTCCTTCTTATCAAGTGTGTTTAATAACTCCTTCTTATCAAGTGTGATTAATATATTTTAATTTTCATTAGGAATGTTTTCTTCGAAGTCAGTATGCATCTATCTGGTAAGGATCCAACAGTCTGCATAAAAATAAGCCAGAACTGTAATACAGATGCGCACGCAAAACTCAAGTTCTGAAACCAGACTGAAGTCCAGAAATGGGCCAACAACTGTAAACTTCTTTCTTCCAAAGTTTACAGCCAGTGAATGCTGAGAAGGACGAGAAGAAGAACTGTTATGTTCATACTGCCTTTCATAGGCTGTGTTTGATTGCTGAATGCTACTACATCTTCAAAGAGTAATTACAATGTGTATTCTGGATTGGTCAAGGAATCCATCTACACAAGTACTCCAGTCTACCACTTGACTCGCAAGAAGGGAGTCTGAGCACCACAGCACTCACCCTCTATAGCATTGAAGTAAATGAGTTCCCCCCCCCCTCCCCCAGTCATAATGTGGAATAAAACTGAAACAAAGGTCAATATATACATAAAGTTAAAAAAAATTAAAATGATACTCCGATCACTTACTACAGAACTAAATGTGATACAAGAGTACAGAACGGAATAAGTAGCACAGTTCTGATTTATTATAACATGTAGACAAGACATTTTTACACAAGACTAACTATAAGCAACAACAACAAAATAAGTAAGCAAAAGTAACCCCGACATCCACACACACACAAGGCTGCACTAGCACCATCAATTCTAAACACTCACCTTCGCCAGCTTGTGTCTGGTGGAGGCGACAGATGATAAGCAGATCCATACGGCGATGAATCAATCTAGTATTTTGTTTTAAAAAAAGGTAAACAATACAAAACATTTTAGAATCTTTAACAACAGCATTCAATAACATGACGAACACAGTATGATGCAATTACTCTTTTGTCATTAAGTTAAATAAATAATTGTAGAAAACCCTTAATCAGTCACCTTTTACAAAAGTTTATTAGATGCACTATGTCTAAGATCCCCCCCCCCCCCCCAATTAGAGCCTGGTACCCACACAGAGATGGAAACCCCATGAAGAACATGTTCTAATGCAATTTGTCCTTGTTATAAAGTTAGAAAAAAGAATCACAGAATGATACACAGTCAGTTTTAATATTATCATATAGCCATGGAATTTATAAAATAAATAGACCCGGAAGAAAATATCTTAGTCACATAAACACTTGTTTTAGGGAGGATGTTAAAAACATGATGGATTTCAAAGCAGAGGATCAAAGACAACATTTACAAAAAAGTGTGTCCAGATCTAGCATACTGACTCTGCGTCAAGGTGTATATTTTATAAATAACTTAGGGTTTCAAAGTCACCCCTGTTTCAAATGAGTATCTATATTTTTGGAAAGTAAAGGCAACTAATATGTAAACCACATCATCCATTAAGTTCTTATTGATCTATTACAAAAATGGGTCTTGTATCATATACTATACCTGCGATATTGTAAATATATGTGGAATTAAAGGGAGTGGCATACGACAGACAACTACAGAATGGAATTTGCAAGATAATTTTAGCAGCAGTTCAAGGATTTACAGACTTGCTGATGACGGTGACGATGTGATATTAAAGAGGTCAAGGCACATATAAATTCAAATTTACATAGGCAACATTTTTCTTTTGGTCACAACATGAGAAAATAAAATACAAAACATACTGTAACGACAGGTAGGAATAATAGGGGAAAGGATAACAGAAGGCAGCTAGAAAGAATTCTGTACAGCTAACAATAGAAAGAAAGAACTAACTAAAAAACTGGTACATAGTGTTGTAAAGCAGTAATTGTGAAAGGGGCATGACCACCCATATCAGCAGGCAAGGTTTTAGATGACAAACAATCATTAAATTGAAAAAAAACTCAATAATTATAAGAAAATATTCATGATTTTATTAAAGATCATCAGCTGTAAACTCCGGTGGGGAAGCTGGTTGACTGTCCACTTCTAGACTGGTCTTGTTCCAGAACTTGAGTTTTGCAAGCACATCCATTTTTACAGATCTGGTTCATCTGTAAGCAGACTGTTGATTCCTCACCTCTCAGTCTGAGGCACTCAGACTTTAAAGGAAAGACCCTGATTAGCTGTCTTTTACAACATGCTTGTTTTGTTGGTCTGTGTCTGTCTGTGGCTTAGGCCTTGTGAACGCGCTTTGTAATGCCGGGGTGCTGGGTTTGATTCCAGCTGCAAACGGTTTGTCTTGTGTTGGTTTTGACAGTGGTACTGAGAACCGACAGCCCAGAAAGCAATGATAAACTAGTGGAACAAAAATGCCTAGAGAATGTCTACAATGTCCTGTAAATGATACATTCTTTCTATGAATGCCGATCAATACACTTTCTGTTACTGTAAATGATTCACAACTAAGTTTGTTGAAAAAAAAAAGGGGGGGGGGGGGGCAGTGTGTCTATTCTTTTCTTGTTAGTTTGGGAAGGGGGAGGGGGAGAGACAGTGGGTCTATAATCCCCCCTCCTGTCTAAAATGGGGTCCTGAAACCCGCATGGGGAAATAAAACAGTGAGAACAGATACCAGATCCCACTTTTCTTGACTTTCATCCTCTAAAAGAGTACATGCCCTCAACCCCATAATGCAAAGTCCTTAGCAGATGTTGACCTTAATTAACAGCTGACTGGACGATTTTTATGAGATGAGGCAGCCAACCCTCATCAATACCTCTGACATCATGAAATGCTGGTTATTACTCTTTCCTTCCTTTATGTGTTGGGGCTTTATGGGCCCTGCTAACACATTGATGAGAGATGCTGTTGCTTTTTGTCACTTCAATAAACATTTCTGAGTTTAACTTCTTTCTTTACTGTCTGCATTCACCAATCTTAGGGCCTAGCATGACAGGGGCCATGAGTATGAGGATTTAAAGACACATAGGCTTGTGCAGTCACCTTATTCAGGGATGAAACCCGGTCTTCCACATGAGAGCTCAGTGCCCAAACCACTTGGCCAGTCGCTTAGTGAAACAATTACATGAAGATAAATGAAGTTCTGTGAAAAAGAAGTAGTGATCAACCAGCACAACTGTGGACCCAGGATATCATGGACAGGTGTGATTGGGAATGAGCAGGCAGATAGGTTTGGTGGACTGGCTCCACTTGGGGGTGAGCTGCAACTGCACATGGCAGAAGTGACCTCTTGCCTGTTGGACATGGTAACAAGTAAAATAGAAAATACTTAAAGCCCTGTACCCGTATTATGGCCAGGATAGACTGAGGCACCTGGGTGTAACCAGGGGGTTTGGCCGGCTAACTACACTCAGGGAAAAGGCAGGACGGACATATAACCAGATTACAACCAGTACCATTAATATTGAAACTCTGCGCTGGCTACTTAAGATGAGGACGGTGCATGCATGGGAATGCCCCGAGTGCTGTGATGTCAATTCTTGACTCAGCTCAACCCGGAAAGAATGATGCAACGGGCAGTGTTTGCGGGCTCTGTGTGCTACTCAAGACTTGGGGGAAAGGCAAGATGAGTAGTTACCCAGACGACAATGGGATCCATTTGTATGGAGACTTTTTAATGGCTGTTGAGGAGCAAGATGGAACTAATATGGGCTTGTTCTAAATGATGTAATTCGAACCTTTACCTAGATAAACACTGATATCATGGATACCCTAGGCACGAAAGTTTATGAGGCAGAAAAGTTGGCAGGAGAGAGACTAAGTCACTTTCTGATATACTGATAAGAGTGACTTCCTGCATAATGATGACAGTGTAGTCTGAGCTCTGCACCAACTTTTACTACTGTTCTAGACATTAAATACCGAGCAGATGGAGAATTTAGTTGTGCACATAAAGTTGTAGACAAAGATCTAAAATTATATTAACAATTATCCCTGTGCGGGTTCTGGGGCCACATTTTGGGGTAAGAAAAGAGGGAAAAGATTAACTGCCCCTTAACAAGCATGTCGTAAAAGGCGATTAAATTAAGGATATGCTGAAATCAGAGATATTGGGCTAAAGGGTGCAGACAGCACAGCCTAAATGTAAACCAAAACACAACACGCCAACTGCCCTTTAAGGGTGAACAGAGAAGATTTTAAAATATAGTTATATTTGAAATGAAAACTGCAGAGTTGACAGAAAGGATTCATACATACCCGTTTATCTGGTTGGAAGTTTCTTCTGTGCGGTCCAATCTGCTGTCTGGGTCGATCATGTCTTGACTGGACTATGCCTGTTTTGCCCTGTTTCATGGCATCTATTTGCTGTAGTGTTGCCTTAATATTAAAATACAATACATGGAAGTCTTATCTGATAAAGTATGCATACAGACATGGGTAACAACAACACTTAGAAAGAAAGGAAATGGAGGAGGACAAGAGTGAGAAAGCAACAAAAATGGGAGACAGGTGACAAAAGAGTATAAAGATAAAGTATACATACAAGCAACTGTCATTTTTATCAGAAATATCCCATTACAAAAGCATATTCTAAAGCACGGCCATTCAAATAAGTTTACTCAGGAGCCAAAATGGTAAAAGGGGATCATCCCAGGCCAGTGTCATGAGTCCCAGCATAGAATAATCACTAATAGCAATAGAAATGGCAGGTGATAAACCAGCCACTTGCTAGGCCTCTGCTGGCCCTCAGTTATTTAGCCCTGTTCTAAGACATATAAATAACCTTTCACCTAAAAATATACTTTCATTTCAGTTTCACTTAGGATATTCTAATGACTCCTGCTAAACTGTTCTGTTTTTTTTTTTTTTTTTTAAGGTATAAGTGACCTTTTTTTTTTTGTGTGCTCTGAAGTCTAAAGTTGCCACAATGTTTATTTTGTCACTCTTGATTTTATTCCTGTAAAACTAATCAATTCTACACTCTTTTGTAGTTATGCTACTTACTAAATAGTGACAGGAGAATACATACTAACACTTTCTTCAAATAAAAAAAAACCAAAAAAAAAACAAAAAGCGTAAATTAGAAACACTCTTACAATTTACTAGTCCACTCTGATCATTGAAGGCGAACATAATATTCTATAAACACGTGATGAAAATGATATTAGATCTCTTAAGTATATCTTTACTGTTAATGATAGGGTCAAAATAATATGCCAGAAAACAAAAAATCGTCAAAGGTTCTAAGTAGTCAGGCTAAAAATGGAAACAGCTCGTAAATCTGCTATCTCCTAATGTTACTGTCTCATTGGAGAAAGAGGTATAAGTTGTTATAAACAGCCAATGAGATCTCCTCCAAAGATGTCCTATCATGCTGCTACTTGCATCTTGACAAAGCGTCACAATATAAAGAAGTATTGTAGAAAATAACTATGATTTTTATATATCATGTATGACAAACTCACAGATATCTCAGATTAAATGTAGGACAGCAACAAGCAGCTCTGTCAGAATTTGTAGTCACCAGCATTCACCAATACATTTGTACACCCCTGACACAATAATAAGTGAATTTTCTAAAATAAGATTGAATGAAAGAAATTCTTCACCTTCTTCTTCTGTGTTCATAAAAAGAAACGCAAACAATGGAATATAGCTGGAATTATTAAAAAAAACTGGTCGCTCTTCATGCCAATGATGAATCTGGCATTTAGTGACAAACCAATATTTTTATAGAACTGGCACTGGAGAAGGGGACGGATGTGGCTAGCAGGTCGGCCACTTTTACTTTGTAGGACACTTCTCTGATCAATTTTAGGTTCAGCTAATCAGGGAGTTTAAGACATTAAAAAATCTGCTTCGATGCAGATTCTTCTACTTCTTCTTTTGCGTTTATCCTATGATGTATTTGCGTTGTGCC